TGTTTATTATCGTTCCTTCGATGTTTACAGATTGAACTCCTTTGTAGACATCATTGCTCGTCTTATTCTTGTTGCAATGTAACAGTACTTTGCCACGGACCTGTTAATTTCGGGCTCTTTGTCAGCTAGGAGGTGTCTGATATAGGTGTCGTCTGTACTACGAGGTATTTTCCTCAGAATCGGTTCGATCAGCTCTTTTCTTGAATCTCGATATAATGGGCAGTATAAGATGACATGCCCAATGGTTTCGATTTCATTGCTGTTACAGGGGCATAATCTTTGTTCGATCGGTATTTTATTGTATCTTCCCTCTAGAAGAGCTGAAGGGAGAACGTTAAAGCGGGCCCTGGAAAATGCCCATCGGTGTTTAGCGTTGTCTAGAACTTTGAGATAGTTTGCTAGATGGGGCCTTTGGGAATTGTATAGAAGTTTATAGGTTATCGGAAGTTGGTTAAAGTCATTTTGGGTTTCAATGTCCCTGAGTCTTTCTTTGATTATGTTCTTGGCCCTTCCCCTTTCTAAACTTAATAAATACTCTGGGGAGAGACCATATGTGGCCAGTTTTCTGAGAATGCCCTTCAACCAGCTAGATTGGAATTTGTCAAGAAGCATCAGGGAAAGTAGTCCAACCGGCGAGTTGTTAAGTCTTAGCCAAGTGCATAAAGTTCTTATCCATACTTTGGCTTTAATGCTGTATAAGCCCGTTTCCAGTCGTAAGGCGGCGTTTGGGACGCATTTAGGTGTTTGCAGGAGTGATCTAAGGAAACCTGATTGTATCTTCTCATATGGGTCTAGATTAGAGAGGGAGACGAGTGGTGCACCGTATAGAATTTGTGCTGTTGGTTTTGCAACGAATAGTTTAATTGTAGCAGGAATGAAATTTCCTCCCGTTGTACGATGGAATCTTAGGATTGCTGTTGTACTTTTTTGTGCTGTAAAGGAGCTGTAGTTTATGTGGGCAGTCTTCTTCCTTGATGCTTGGAATATCACTCCTAGATATTTAAAGCATGTCACTTGTTCAATCTCCTGATTGTCTAAATTCCATCTGTATATTTTCCTTTTGTTAGAGAAAACCATGATTTTTGTTTTTTGGTAGTTCACTGCTAGTTTCTCTTCTCTACAATATTGGGATAAGCTGTTAAGAGCTCTTTTGAGGCCCATCTGAGTCTGGGACAACATAACCGCATCGTCTGCATAGAGTAGAATAGGCAGTTTTTTGTCTGCTAATTTTGGGGCGTGTGTATCCGCTCCTTGTAGGTGGTCTATTAGGGAGTTTATATAGATGTTGAACAAAAAGGGGGCCAAAATGCATCCTTGTTTAACTCCCTTTGTTGTTCTAATGAAATTAGAGAGTTGGCCTTCTTGGCTGCATCTTATGCGAAGTCGTGTGTTATTGTACAGTTTGTATATTAGTAGCAGCAGACGTCGGTCTATGGATGATTTGTTGAGTTTGTCCCAGAGTCGAGTTCTTGGGATGGAGTCAAAGGCTGCTTTAAAATCTACAAATGCTGCGAATAGGTGGTGATTGTGATGCGACGTGTATTTCTCAGCTAGGTGCTGTAAGATCAGGCAGTGATCCATTGTGGATCTCCCTTGTCTAAATCCTGCCTGTGCATCATCAAGAATCTTCGCTCTTTCTATCCATTCGCACAGTTTCTCGCTGAGATGTTTAGCGTATAATTTACTTATTATGTTCAGGAGGCTTATAGGTCTATAGTTGGAGGGATCGTCCCTCGAGCCTTTTTTGTAAATGGGAATAATGATGGAAGTCCCCCAGTCGTATGGGATCTGTGCAGTTCTATCTATATATGTGAACAGAGAGGCTAGCAAGGGGGCTCACCAGTTCGCATTGGTTTTAAATAGTTCCGCTGGTATACAGTCAATTCCGGGGGCTTTCCCGTTCTTTAGTTGGTCAATCAGCAGATGGGTCTCTGTTAGTGAGACTGCTGGCCATGGCTGTATCTGATCATCCGGTATGTCTAATGCATAGGACTCATCGCTAGATTCCTCGTAAAGATTATGGAAGTGCGTTTCCCAGGCTTTCATTGATATGCAGCAGGATAGTTGTGATAGGCCCCTATCCGGCTGTACAGCTACGATTCTCCAGAATAATGATGGGTTACTTGATTTGGAGGCCTCTATCAGTTGCTGCCATAATAACTTCATTGCGTATCTTTTCTTTTGTGTCAGAAGTTTTTTGTAACTTCTTTTGGCTTCAAGCATCTTTTGTCTGTTGTCCTCTGTTGGATTATCCTTATGGCAGATGAAGGAGTGGATCAATGATTTCTTGGAGGTTATACACTCATGATCGAACCACTCCCTGGAAGTTTTCCGACGGTGGGGAGGCTTGGAATTCGGTTTTACAACAAACTCTTGAATTTTTTGTATAAGCATTTCATATGTTGTCATCATGTTCGGGCGCTCTCCTCTATTTCTAAGCACCCTTCCATAATTGCTTTTGAGAGACGGTAGCTCTCCTCAGTTTTATACCAGTTAGATATCCGCTCGCTCACTTGTCCGTTCCATCTGATTTTCTTGAGGCCTGTTCCGGGTGTTAGATCTGGTTGATATCTGTGTTGTGGTTTGGGCAGATCAAAGGGTAAATCACACACGAGGGATAAAGGTAGATGATCACTTTCAGCTCTTGCTGTAATGGTAAATTTTGATATCCTAGGGATCAGGTCCTGGGAAACAATGCAATAATCTATCGTTGACAGTTTGTGTCCTGACCAATATGTGTATTGACCAGGATAATCTCCTTGTATAGCCCCATTCAGTAGATGTAGATTCTGTCTGTAGGCCATGTGTGCTAAATGTAGTCCTCCAATGTTGCATGTCTTATCGTAGGATGATCTTATCATTAGGGGTGGGATAGTTTCCATTTCTGGAGGCCATTGGTGAAAATGTGCATATAGGGCGTTGTCGTTAGGGCCCACTCTTGCGTTTAGGTCACCAGCTAGTAATATCATGGCTGACGGGTGTTGTCTCCTCCATTGCACCACGTGGGCTTCCACTTCTTTCCATAGTTGTTCTACTTGTGCCTGCCGACGACATGTAGGTAAGTATAAGTTTATGCATAGCAGTTTGCTTTGTCCGAAATCTAAAACTGCTGCTACAGACCATTCATCATTGGAGGGTAATTGGATAATATTAGCTTGTATCTGCGTTGAGAACAGTAAGGCTAAGCCTCCTTTGGGTCTGCCCCTCTTTGGCTAGGTGTTGCTCTTTTAATACACGAGTGGTAATTATCCAGGTAGAGCTCGTCTATCGACCAGGTTTCCTGGATGAACAGGATGTCAAATTTAGTGAGGAAGTCCATTAGATTGGGATCTTTGCTTTTGGCTCCCCACCCTGCGATGTTCCACGTACAGGTGGTCAGCTTGTGATTTTTGGTTGTCAGACATCTCAAGGGACAATCAAGCTTAGGTTTATAGCCAATTTGGGATTTATCATTCATTATGTCCGTTTTGGGGTGTGTAGTGGGACATTTTGGCACGGTGTGAACTTGGACACATTTTAGTGTCCTGGAGGGGCGTTCTTTCCCGTGCCCTTATTTCAGTCCGTGTGGATGGTGTCTAGGGCTCCTAGGTTGTCCACAAAGATTGAACCGTTCTTGCCTGGTGGTATCGCTATTTCAGCTTGATGTGTTATTGTTTTCTTTGTTATAGGTGGTTCCGTAGGTCCGAGTTCCTCTGGCGATAGGAATAGCCTTAGTATCCACTCACTGTTGGTTAGAGGTTTTGTGGTATAGGTTGCATAGTTAAATTCCCTGGTGACAGGTGTGGCTAGGAGTGTAATAGTTTTCCTTATGGATGCTAATCTTTCAATTAGTGCATCCTGAGCTTTATGTATTTGTTCAATAGTTGCTATGAAGCGGTTTTCCTTCTCTATGTTGGAGCTTTCATCTGGTGCGTGATTTGGGGATACGGTTTTTGGTCTTTTAGCCAGCTGGTTTGGGGCTTTGTCTGCCTCTAGTTGAAGCATCTTACAGTTCTCGTCCGTCATAGTCATTGTCGGCTTTGTTTTTATCTTATCAGTCTTGATTGTTTCGATGAGAGGAGTGGGAGTACCGGACACTTCGAATAGGCGAGTCACCTGCAATCCAACCCTTTGTAGCTTGTCCTTATTGTCTGAAACTAGTTTGGTTGTGTGCCAGTCTCTGAATGTTACCACAACTCTGTTTAGGTCCTTGTCTGATGGCAGAAATTTAACATTAATGATGTTTTCTGCTGGGACGAACCCTCTAACGGCTAATTCAGTTTTCTTGAGAATATAAATTCTCTGTTGTGCTGGAGAAAGGAGATCTTTGTGCATGTATACAGGTAGGATGATGAGTTTTTGTTTGTTTAGAATTAGATTTCTGCGAGAGTATGTTGTTTTAGGAGTAGTTTCTTGCTTAGGGGTCGGGTTTTCTCTTGATTTTCCCGCGGTTCCATTCGGGAGCGCTAGTTGCTCTGTTGAATTATGAAGCCTAGCCTTATGGAGTTCCTCTGTTGAATTGAAAAGCCCAGCCTTATGGAGGTTTTTATTTGGGCTTGGGCTTCGGCTTTTATCAAGGGGTGGCAGGACTAGGTTAGCTGGGTTCGTTGGATTTGAATTTTCTAATAGCTTAAATAGTCTTGTGAGGTTCATTTTCTTTGTTCGAGATGGGAGCTTTGTCTTCCTTCCCATTTTTACGTTCTTGGGCTTCTTCTCTTTATTCCTGGGGCACTTCCCCTTTAAGAGGGGTTTCTTAGGGTCAATTAAGTTTCCCTTCTGGTTTGCTTTGATCCTAGATGTTTTCCTTTTTTCCACATTATGTCGGGTTTTATTTTCCTTACTGGTGTTATCGTTTGGTGTGCTAGAGAGAATTTTATATGAATGCAAGTTGTCTATTCTCCTAGTTATTTCAGTCAAAGTGGTAAGTAGGCCCAAGCATTCTGAGAGGAAGTCTTTGATGTGTCCCAGATCTCTGCCTATCTGCAACTTCTGTTCATTTAACAGATCATTATATAGCCCTGTTAGTATGTAGGGAGGCATTCCAAGTCGCGAGCTTGGGCTCTTGTGTCCTCCGGGTCCCCATTCGTCACAGTGTGAAACCCCGTCTTCTCCCCGGGCCCTGGTCCCTGGGAGGGCTCATCTGTCTTAATTACTGGGTTTTCCTCTTGTGACTCTTGTTCCTGCTCCAGCCCCGGTTGGTTCACTGAGGTTTCATCTTCTATGGCAACTTGTTTTATTTCCATTGCCAGACTGACTCCCACCCCTTCTTCGTCTGTTTCCATTAGCTCCCCGTACCTGGTACGGTCTATGGACCATTCGTGGGGGTGTCGTTTGTCCGCATTATTTATTTTGTCTGTTTTCGGTTTAAAATATTGTGAGATTTTCACCTGCCTTCCTCTTGTAGAGGGTTCAGCCGCTTTGATGAGGGGAATTCCCAGCTCTTTATAGCTCTGTCTTGTAAACACCATTCTCTAGGTTGAAAGCTTCCCTTATTGGGCACTTTATTGTAGAAATAAAGGTAGAGGTAAAGTTTGGAAAACCGGTGTCCAGGCTGTTGGCTCAGGGAGCCTCCCTACCTTTCCCTCTTTAAGCCTTAACTTGGGGCGGGAGGGTATTCATGGGGGAGTTCTTGGACTTATCTTATCGAGGTTAGGCTCAATGGAGTTCAGCGGTTTCCTCTGCTTCTTTGGTTGTATTTCAAGCCAATCCGTCGTCCGGGAGCTCCAAGGTTGTAAGTCAGTGTAGCAGTATCAGTAAACAGTGCGACGATAAAACAATAAAACAATAAAAGAATAAACTAATTAAAACGAGGTGACAAGACAGACAGCCAACAGTCTTTAAGGTCCTTAAGGTGCAGTTTTGGGGTCTTGAAGAGGCTAAAACTAATAAAAACGCTTAGTTGAAATCGGAGGCTCTAATTAGGCTGCTACCTCCGTCACCATGTTGGCCCCTCCCGTTTAATCGTATCTTAAACTGTTGTTACCCACCCTGAAATCTTCTAGGATGAACAGTGCGATAGATAAGATCAATTTTTAAATAAATTTCTATTGATAAAATAAATTTAAAAATAAATGTCACTATGCCCATATTGTGGTTAGGAGTGAGGAAGGAATGAAACTGAAAAATAGTGGCTTGCTTGAACCCACGTAGTTCATTTGTGAGTAAAGTGAGAATTTGAGCCAGTAGCTGATTAGCTCATATGTCACACTCTTAGCTGTGACATTACCCTACATACTGGATCCAAAGCTTTCCTTCTCTAGTATTTTTGCTAAGAGATCCATTAATTTTGCCTCAGTGTCCTTAATTTTCAGACTTTTCTGTGCATCTCTAACCAAACCATCTCTGTTTCTATTTCCAATGTAAAAGCTGTACGCTACGTTGCTTCAAAAGTTGGATTCAGATCATTTTTCTTTATATAAAAACTAGGAAGTGTATTTGTTCTCATTAAGGCACTCTTCTTAAAGTGACATAAATTCATTTCCTTCATCTAGTTAGCAAATGGGAAGTGCTCGTGTTTGAGGCTCTTCCAGTTTCAGTGCAGTAAGTGTCAATGGACAGAAGCCAAATTTGTTCATTTGGCCTCGTAGATCTTACAACTGAAAAAGAGGTGGTTTGGATTTATTTATTTTTTTAAAAAATGTAATTGAAATTATAAGCAGAGGCTCTAAATGGACATATGCTGTGAATTATTTCAAATATGTATGTTGCTTAGATAATTGGGAAGCAGCATGAAGGTTGTGTTCTCAATTTTCCTTGGCATGCTGTTTTAAACATTGTTTTGTATTGTGTTGCCTTGAATCCACTCTTTTTTGAGGATTAAAATCCACTATCCGGGTGCTAGCAGAGTCCTTCTTTGGTAGTTGCTCATGTTCTGTCCCTCACAGTTAGGTACCCAGGAAAAGCCTATCATCTCCAGATCAATATCCCAAACTTCTGTGCCCCTAAGGGAAATTTCATTTTGCTATCATGCAGGGCTCCAATTATGAAACAATGGGTAGGAGGTCAGTCCACAAGCTCCATCCTCTGGTTCCTCCAAATTTTAGCCAAACCACACACCCTGTCTAAAGACTGAAGCAAAGGGGCAGAGCAACACAAAAGCCCCCCTCTTTAATTCGAGCCATGCTATCATATTAGAAAGGAAGCTTGTGTAACACCATGTCCTCAAGGAGCAAGCATGATGAGGGGAATATATGTATTAACTTGACTTGTCCTAGTCCTTGTCATGCCTACTAGCTCTGCATTCTGTAGAGCAGAGGAGGGGAACCTGTAGTCTGCCAGACATTGCTGGACTACAACCCCTAACCATTGGACATGGGAGTTGGAGACCAACAATTTCTGCTTGGCCACAAGTCTCCTACTCCTAGTGAAATGGAAATATAGGCCCTTACTGTTTATTAGAAAAGATGGCAAGAGATTTGAGGCAAAACTAAGGAGTGAAGTAAGTGGCAGAACGAATGAAGAAGCTGCCACGAGAATTTTTATACTGAATCTTTAGAGTTGCTGTTCCTGTAGAATAGCTTGTATGTTTGTTGAGAACAAGACATTTCATGATAGAAATATTATGCAAAATTGACAGTATGGTGGAGTAACAAAATGGCTATATATTCTTGAACATATAACCACATATTTCTTATAACGGTAGTCACACATGCATATTTCAGTGCCTAGTACTGTACACATGCTACATATTAGCAACTTCTGTTCCTGTAAACCTATAAAGGCAAGTTCTGCAAGAAAATACACAATCTTATGTAGAAATGTTCACTTTGGTAAAGTACTGGATCAAAGCTACTCTCAAATTTCAAGTTTTATGCTGCATGTGCAGGGGGAAGAGGGTGTAAATTATGAAATGTCCTAAAATATGAATAAGTCATGTGGAAATAATTAATCACAGGAAACTCATTAAAATTAAAAGTGTATTTTAAATGGTTTCTTGATTGAGTACAAATGCCTCATTAATTAAGAATGCATTGACTTAAGAACACAAGTGATGTCAAAAAGAGAATAATGACTGACATGACATGGAATACAACATGCTGTGTGTTCTCTGTCTCAAACACTCAGGAAGAACAGTCTCCACAAAAGGTCAGTGGATGCATAAGATGGAAAGCTCTTCAATGCCTCTTGATTATTTTAAAGTGCCATTGTACACAGGGATGTTGGGTAGAATCATAGGATCATTGGGTTGGAAGGGAACTTGGAAGGCATCTAATCCAATCTACCACTGCAGGCAGGACCAGCAATGCTGGATGCACTTACAGCATCCCTGACAGATGGTCTACTAGTCTCTGTTTAAGTCCCTCAAGAGAAGAAGACCCAACCACCTCCCAGGGCAGTCTGTTCCATTCTGAACATTTCTTCCTGTTAGCAAGTGTAGCTCTCTTTCCCACTGAGATTGTCTTGAGGTATGACAGTATTCTGCTGGTTCTCTCCATTCCGTTTCCGTTATGCTCACTAGATCTGTGTTCTCCTTTATAACCAAGCATTCCAGCTTGCCCATCTTAACTTTGGGGCTTCTAGCATTAGCATAGAAACATCGGCACATGGTGTCCCTTTCTTTCCATCATGTGCATGTTTTTCCTGTCACCATTTGGCCTCTTTGACTGGCTGTCATATTCTGCTGTAGGTTCTTGGCCTCTTTCCACATGGTTCCCCTGGGGGTAGGGAGAGAACATTTTCATCCCTTAGGAATGATAAATCCTGAAGTGAATACTACTCCCGCTTCTGTTGGCTTTCCCCCAGAGATCATTTTTAAAAGAGTTCTATCAACTTCTTGCTGTGCAGAACCAGCAGTTAAGTTCCATTCTGTGTTCCTCTAGTGCCGCTGCTCCTTGATGTTTGTAGTTGTTTTAAGAATATTTCCATTTGAGTATGACTCTTTCAGGATTGTGTGATATCACCCTACACATGACAAAATATAAAGGAAAATCCATGTGTTGTTTGTTAGATTCGTCATAATGTTTAGTCACTGAAGTACTATACACATTTCAGTAATGCCCAACTCTTGTATCAGCTATACATGAGCAGGTTTTAAGTTCTGGGGGAAAATATTTGGCTTGATAGATTAACAGAGCACTACTGGTATTGCATAAATATCAATAGAACTTGTACACAGACCACTTCTGAAATGATTCTGCTTCCTAATTGCAACAAGAACTAAGCTGCAAGTTTCTTTAACATTCACTCTATATCAAAGAACTTGTTTCCCAGTATGTAACTAAGCAACCAAATGTCCTTGTGTCTTCCACCAATCAAAAGCTGGCCATGCACAACGCTGCATATCAAATATGTGTCTGTTAAGCCATAAAGATCAGGCAGAACAATGGAAATGTGGATGCATGCATCGTAGGAGAAGCTTTTCGGAAGGATTTTCTAGGTGCTCCAATTTTCCACCGGATCTTTATCGTTCTATTAACATGACTTTTCTGGGGGAAAGCAATTGCCCATTTCCATGGTGTACATCATATTTGCAATGAACTATCTCTAGTGTGTGACACTTTGTAATAATTGGCCTAATCTTTATTAATTTCTCTGATGTTCATCGTAGTAACATTAATCATTTGATGCACTTTTGGTATTAATTTGAATGTCATAGGTACTTTCCTAGCAGTTCCATTGTAATTCCGGATTAATTAATTTACTGTTCCTGCCAATTTTGATTTAAAAATTAGACTTCTAGTACAAAATCCACCTTGGCAGTTACTTCTTCTTTTTTTTACATTTTTAATTGCTGGTGCAAATGCCAAGGGTATGGTTATCTTGTGCGGCTCCTGTTTCAACAAGAATTTCACATTTTAATTTTATTTAAATGTCGACAGACAGAAAGTCCTTGGGGAAATTGCATATATACTAAAAGTTCAGATTTGGGACATGTCAGGGATCTGCACCCTCCACCCTTTGTATCTCAGGGAGCCTCTTCATACCCTAATGAAGAACACCCATAGAAGGTGAGTTGCCAAAGTTCTGGTTATAAGGGGGTGTACTGCCTAGCAAAAGCAACCAGGAGATTATGGCTTGCTGAAGCAGCCAATATGGTAAGACTCTTCTAGAACTTAGCTGCTGGTGAAATTAATGGGGGCCCAAAGACATGAGCATGAAGAGATTGCTTGAATTACATTATCCATGAAGCAGTGGAAGGAGACATTACTAAGGGATAAAATTGGCTTAAGATGTGGCTTAAGATCTAAATGTAATAGTAGTTGGAGAACATGTTGCTGAACTTTTGTGAATGCATTGATTAGGATTCATCCATTATTCTGCTGAATTTACCATATTGGTTTGCTGACAGTACTGGATTAGTTTGCTGACACTGATATATTTGTTTGGATGGCAATAGTATCACAGGATAGAACAGGGAGTGGCTTGGGAATCTGTTTACTGCTTTGCAGAAAGTATTATAAAAGGAACAGTTAAAAAAGGAACACCAATCTGTTCCAGTTGTTTTAAGTTTAAAACAAGGTGATACATAGGCTTTCAAAAGGGACGTCCTGGTAAGTTATTCCAGGACAGTCTGCCTGTTCTGCTGGTGAAGACTTACCCTGGACTAACAGGAAAAGGTCTATGGCTCACCTGTAAATGATGATCAGAGGGACAGATCATCCCACTTTACTGTAGGTGTCAAGAGCAAGCAGTGAGTCATCATCATTTGATAATTATCTCCTCTTGTGGCTAGATCCTTGTGAACAGATTTATTGTAGTTGAGGTGACATGGACAAGTTTATTGTAGCGGAGCCTTCTGAGTGTACTGGGTCGTACTTGTTATTAGGTGTACTAGATCGTACTTGTCATTATTGTAATGTCAAATAAAGTTGAGTTGTCTCATATCCCTTTGGTGGTTTTCAACCCTTAAACTATCCTGTGTCAGTGCTTTTACTGCTTCTCCCTTCTACCTCTTTTCCCTGTTTCTGCCCACAAGAAGACAGTAATGATTGCATCATGAGATTGTACATTCATTTAAGTGCAGGAAGTCCCCGAATCTATGGTATAGAACTGCTTCTAGTAGACAAAGCATATGATTTTGAGTCCAGCTCTTGTTTTTGACCAGTTCCTGGAGAGGGCTTCCCACAGACATCTGGTTGGCCACTGTGAGGATTACGAACCAGACAGGCCTTGCGTCTAATCCAGAAGAACTTTTGGGCTCTTATCTCAGAGTGTGGGGAAGCAGGGAAGAAACAAGCACTGGGATTCTAAGTAACTATCATCTTCAAGTATAATAAACTCCAGGCCAGTTTATGCCAGTCTCCTTGGTGATGTCCACCAAGAGAGAGTTAAACGCACAGGCATTTATTTTATTGGTCGAAAAATAAATGCTACAAGTAAGCAGAAATGAAAGTGGTGTGGGTTTACCACTTTCTCCAGCAATGATGGCAGGAGCTGTCTCTGACATATTTTATTCCCTAAAAAATGTTTTCTTTTGCTTTTGGCAGTGGTAAATATGATACAGAAGCATTATCACCGGCTCCTGGAAATACACTGGCAAATTGATGGCATTTGACCACCAGATGCTTACTTAAAAAGTAACTGCTGGAGAAAATGAAGGAGAGCTGACCATCTATGAGGTTTATTGAGGCGGCTGACATGCTCCAAAAGCAGGTGGGCGTGAAGCTTGAATGGTTTACAACCAGCAATAACAAGACTGAAAATACATCTTAATCATGTAATCTCCCACCACGTGATCCTATGCCTGAGGTGAAGGTGATGGGGATCATTCTGTTAGGGCAAGCTGGTGCCTTTCCAGGCAGATTACTGGGCATATTAACACAGAAGAAAAAGGATTGCTTTGCACATGACGTAAGGGAGAAAGGAGGTTATGCAGCACAAGCCACAGGAGGAAAGAGATCAGCCCCAGAGCCACAAAGGCGAGGGACATGTGGAAAGCCTTGTGGCTAATCAGGGTGTACCTGCAGTGAATTTACCTTGATTTGTCCAGAGGAAATGTGAAAAGGAAAGTGAAAGTGTCTCAAAGAAAACAGTTTCTGTTGAGATAAAGCAGAATTGGAAGCCTTAGTCAAAAAGTTGTATTTGTGGATTAAGCATGCATGGGATTATTTTAGATTAAGTTTTTTTTGTATCTCTGTTGAAAGCTGTGGTCTGTCCTAAGCCTTTTGGACAGGGCACTCTGAAAATGAAAACATAAAGAGTTATACGTGTATATCCACATAAGGTCCCAAGCTGGGGATTTGGACACAGAAGAGTTTGTCAAAGCAGGAAGGGTCAAAAGAGGCCGCATGAAAGGCAGACAAGTGATTCTTGAAGCAGCTTTTAGACTGCTCTCTTATAGTGAGATGTTCTGATGTTTTTGTTTTCATTTGCTTTAGAGTAATCTTAACTTTTTGTAAACTAGCGTGGAACTTGTTAAAAGTATGGAGTATTAATCCCTAATGTGCATAAAAGGCATAGAACAAATATGTAAGGTATCCTTGCTAAACTCAAAGGCTTTTCCTATGTCCAGAGTTGTGTTTCAGTTATTTCACAATGAATCCCTGACAATGTTTTAATATTGTTTTGGCACTGCTTCAAAGAAAGAAAGCTCCACAGTATATGTTGTGCATCAAGCCTCTTCATGTTAATGGCTGGGACCACTTATTATACTCAGAAGTGTGTCCCACTCAGTTCAATAGCACTTCCTTCTAGGTGAGTGAGGATAGGATCGCAGGCCGATTAAGATGAGGATGAGATCAAGTTGGGGCTATAAAACTGCTTTTGGCCTTTGGTGAAGTGCAGGGCTATCCTATGCATTTTTACTCAGAGGGAAGCCCCAGTGTGTTAAATGGGACCTTCTCCTGAGCAAGTGTGTGTTTAGAGTCACTTAACATGAGGAAAACACCACTGGAGATTGTCTTCTGTAGCTATAAGCAGTCAGGAAACAGAGGACATCCTCAACCATCAAGGCATTTCTAAAAAAGATGAAAAGCAAAAATACATTGATTGCTTTCCTATATGACAGCAGCGGTCCTATGTACATGCGTAATTCATAATGGAATGAACTGACAACCTACAGCTCACTGATTTATAGATACGAGACATGTGATACTCTGGATTTTTAAAAATTAAATAAATAACCTGATAAATACATAAATAAATGGACAAAGCATTTAGGGTGTGTTGCTCAAGCTACTAAGAACACTCTTTAGCCATCCAGCTAGTTCTCTTCTTGAAAATAGCAATTTGTTGTGTAACTTAATTTTTCTTCACTCTGCTTGTGCACTTTTCAAGTTATTTCATCATCAGCCATTTTTTCCAAGAGAGCAGAAATTCTGGACAAAATCTCTTTTAGTTTAACCCTCAGTGGCAGATTTACAGATATGTGCAGTAGGAGCAAGAAATTGGGCCCCGTAATAACGAAGTTATTAGCATACATTGTTAACTAAGAGGATACCTTTGAAAATTGTCTACATTTGAAGAAAAACAAGAGCCTAAGGAAGGTACTAAGGTGTATAAACAAGACTTTAAGATTGCCAAGGTCGAGATATACTGGGATTATAAGTGAAGCTATTTTCTTTGATTTCTGGACATGTTATTATCCAACTGGATCTGTAACTGTATATTATAATAGTACATATTTTCTAGCAGACATTGGTGGTACTCGGAGATATTATGGTTGTACTTTAGGATACAGTTGAATTAATTGACTTTAAAGGTAATACTCTGTTTGAAAAATACTCTGTCTGAAAAAAAGGAAATACAATAGAAAGTGATATAAAAGAAACTGTAAGAATATAAAATAAGAAAAACAAAATCGCACGGGTGTAATAAGGTAAATTAAAGGAGAGTAGTTAAGACATAGAAAAATAAGAATAACAAAACAAAAACCAAAAAAAAGATTGTGCGCCCCTCAGTATATTAATATGGTATATTAACTAATGGTCTGAGATATCAAATAGGTAGAGCCAGGATAAAAATTGTGCAAATTCTTGAGGATTCTAACTCTAGCTCCAAACTAGATGTTAGTGAGAAACATGATGGTTAGTTTCAAAAACTTAATTTGCATCACATAGGATTAGTGTTGCAGTGAAGCTGTTCCTATTTCATTATTAACGGTACATTTCTTAAGCAGGTAGCAATCTTTTTAGAAAGGACAACTTTATTGGCCATTGAAGCAGAATTTCTCAAGTTTGACATTCCTTGGTTCTTAGTATTGAAAATGTCCTAATAACTCTTAGCATTTATGTAGTGCGTTAGAGAATCCAAAGTGCTTCACGTATGTCTGCTTCGTAATGCTATGAACCTCTTTTCCCTTGCCTCAGTTTGTTCCTGTCTGACCCTACCAGTTAAACTGCACATATCACAACAATATTCAACATGCTTTGTTACTACTTAGAATGTGTAGTTTTGTTACTACTTAGAATGTGTAGCTTTGTTTATTACATGTAAGACATGTCTTCCTTATTTATGAGCACAGAAAGGTTACTAAAATGAGTAACAGAAATATATTTATACTTTCCATAACTTGGATATAAGCATAAGAGGAAATGGAAGTAGGCAATGATTCAAGCAGATGGGAGATCATACCAAAAAAGGGTGTGGGCCATCAGGAAACAGCAAGCAAAAACATGCTTGTTGACATTCGGTAATGCAACATAATACACAGTGCTCTGGAAAGAAATTTTTTAATATGGTGCCATACTATAGCCAAAACCATCTCCCTTGTCCTTGATGGATTACACAAATTTCCCTCTGTCTAAAAGCCCATAATTTCATTTCCTAGACCCCAGAGTGATGTGCTTCTTCAGCATGACATACTTTCCTATGGCCTTTTATTCTAATTTTCTATAATTATGATCATCATTACTCACTGTGACAAGGGGCACTACTGTCCTACTTCTGCCATTCTGCTCAGTTCAGACAGGGCACCCTTCTAATTTGCCATGGCCAGTGATGATATCACCCTGGTGTGCTGACTGTCAGGAGCCTATTCAAGGAGGGCATTGATGGATGGACAGCTGAAGCACAGGAGTGGATGAGCCAAGCCTGCTGTGCCATCCTCAGAAGAGCCCTTTTCAAGGAGGGCAGGAGAACCCTTCCTTCCACCTCAAGGAAGAAAAGGAAACTGGAGGCAAACAAGCTGTGTTAGCCAGGGAGGTTGACCCTGGTCACAGGACAGAGAAGCTTTCCAGGCTGCTCTGGCTTGGTCAGGGTAAGGCAAGCTGAATCCTACCTTGTCCATGATGTTAACTCCCTTGAAGTAACAAAGACTTGGTGAGGACAGAGAGCCTAAACCTTAGTGGTGTGTACTTCTCCTGGAGGAAACTCATCGATCCATATGAAGTAGAAATCTTCTCAGTTCCCAGCCCTCAGATCATGCTATCCCATAAATCAGGCTTCCTCAACCTCGGCCCTCCAGATGTTTTTGGCCTACAACTCCCATGATCCCTAGCTAGCAGGACCAGTGGTCAGAGATGCTGGGAACTGTAGTCTCAAAACATCTGGAGAGCCGAGGTTGAGGAAGCCTGCCATAAATAATTCAGATGTTCCATGATCTATCTCCCATAACCAGCAAGGAAAAACTATGCATGGATACTGGCCTCATTTGTATCAGCACATTGCAAAAGAGACTAGTGCTCAGTATGTCAGATGACCCAGGCTGGTAATTGAGTTTAAAGGTGGGATGAAACTGCACTCATCCTCCAAGCGCCAAAGGATCAGAGTTGTGGCCTGAGGAACCTAGAAGAATACTGGATTGAAACCTAAATAACGCTGACAAATGCAGGATCACAGAAAATGGATTTGCCTAAACAACAAAACCAAGAACTTACTTTCTCCATGCCTCCCAGAAACCCAGAGCAAGAGCATTTGTTTAAAAACAATGGCAACAGACAGCGCTTCAGTATATGGAAAAATAAGTGTTTGGACATACTGACAATAAACAGGACCAGATGCTATGCATCAGTTGCACCTGACAATCTTGGAAATGACTCATGGGAGAACATTTCAAGTTAGTCAGAAGAAATACAAAATTGTTAGACACCAGATCAGTACTTCAACTTCTGCAGTGTTAGCACTTTAAGGTAGAGAAGCTGCATCCAGATTTATACCATTTGAAGATTTGGCAGGTAGCAGCCAAGAAATAGAATTCATCTTCACTGGGCATAATAATACGTCTAAAGATATCTTTCTATAGCAATTGTGCCATCTCATTATGATCCGTTATCCACTTTCATTTCTCATTCCATCTATTATTAAATTAGGTTGTTCAACAATGTAGCTATTACGAAGTTATGGACTTCCATGTCCCCTTTCAAGGCAAAAAGGCTCTCCAAGATTTTGCAATTTGGAATTTCAGGTCTGCCACTGCAGCTAAAGTGGATGATAACAAAATGCAGCTTGATTTACATTTCAAAGCTTTCACTGAATATAAAGCCGCTCTATTGGCCTTTAAGCACTATATCATCTGTGTCAGGCATATTTAAGCAAATTGTTGGCTCTGTTAATGCCATATTGAACACTACAAACTGCTGATGTAGTCTTTATGGCTACATCGTAAGCTACATAAGCTGAAATTGTGTTAGTCTACATAGTGTTTAGCTATGCTCCTTAAAGAAATGGAGCTATCATTTCTACCTGGTTTTCAGCATTGTCCAGCTATCTTTGTCATCGTTTTGTCATTATCACATCTTTTCTGATGTCCTTCTAGTCCAGCACTCTGTTCTCACAGTGGCCAACCAGTTGTCCATGGGAAGCCCATCAGCAGAATCTGCTATTATGGGCTGTGTCCGTAAGACACTGGACTCCTGATTAAGTAAAACACACAGTCCCAAAACCATAGAACTTTGCATTTTTCTCCTTCAGTAAACATGGTTAGTTCTCTTGTCAATATTTATATGTATAAGTGTTGTCACATTTTGCCTGTGCTGAATGATTATCTAGGTGCTTCACCAAAGTGCATGTTTCTGCATGAAGACCTTTCACCTGCCGAACAGATGATCAGCTTTCACAGCACTGATGACTTGTTTGGGTTTAAGGAGCAGGTTGTCTCCCGAGACAGATGGATGCCAACAAACCAGGAACTTGCCACACCCTGACTCTCCAAACAGCTGATCAGCCCTTTCCAAGTGCCAACCATCTGTTCAACAATGCATAGAGTTCTGAATACAGGATTCTGCCCCCATCCCCGCTTTCCAATGCCGAATTCTTTAGTCTGTGCGAAATTTGATCAAGGAAGGTGATTTTCCAATAGAATTCTGTTAGCTCTCAGAAAGATCACTTTTTCTGGTTTGGAATGATTGCAGGCTTAGCAAAAATCTGTGACCATCCCAAGCACTATATTGACATAGGGCTACATGGGAAATAATACAACATTCAAACATGTAACAGTGTCTGATCACTATAGTAAAAATGGAGCAACTGCAATGAAAATATATATAATTTTCTTTCATATTCATAACCATATTCACACCTTGCCTGTGGGGAATGGACATTCATGTGTTAAGCTAAAACAGATAACAGTGAACACGTGTTGAGGTAATTGCCAAAAGAGGCTCTGGTCAACACAAGTAATCATGAAAATTTTTTCAGAAGACAGGTTGCAGGCAGGGATATAAGAGCAGGCAACAATGTAACAGGAGTCAAACTTTCCCCATCCATTGATATGCAAAATGGGAGAAGAAAGATTGGTTCTTAACAGCAATCTAATAAATCCAGAAATAAGTAAAGTGGTAAAAATTCAATGATGTGTGAGTTAAATGTGTGAAAGAACATTTCTGTCATTTCAGGATTCTGTTCCCATTTGTTGCCAAACGCCTCATACATTTTGTGTTTTATTTGTTAAAATTTGATTTCTTCTCATTTGTTTTTGTTAAAATCCCATTTCCTTCATGTCTTGATACTTTTGTTTCCTGTTTATTTTGTCACCTGCAGACATCCGTCCAAGGTCCAGGTTGGACAGGATCCTAAACACCAACAAAACAGCAGAATGCAACAGATGGGCATGATTTGACTTCTGTTTGTGCCTATTAGTTTCCCTCTGGGTTTGTTTTGGATCAAATAGAAATTCAACTGAATAGACACCATTCAATTCTATTTTCCATTTGTCAAATAAATACACACTCCCACTTTTTCTACTTCAGAAAGCATGGCTATTTCTCTGTCAGTATTCATATTGATAACTGTGGTGACTGTGGTGGAAATGTGGATGTCCCACCAAAGTTAAACAGTAGTGTTTATGTGTTGAACTGGTACCAAAAGAAGCCAGGTATACTAAAGGGGAACTTGTGGCACTCTCAATGTTTCTGGGTTCCTACTTCAGTCAGACAGTAGAGCCAATGACCAGAAATGTCACACCTCTATCCGGACACAGTGGAGTCCATATGCTGTTGGAGGGCAACAGGTTCCCCATCCCTGGGGTAAAATAAACTTGCTGGAGATAATAGACCAAACACTAATTCATAAGTGTTTTTCTCTCTGTGTTGCCTGAGAAATGGAATTGTTGAATTGAAGAAAAGAAAAAAAAACTTACTTCAAGTTGATTGATGTCTGTGTAACGACTTTCATCAGCAATGCTCTGAAACAAGATTAATGCTACTTTTCCCCTTTAGAGGTAGACAGGTGTTATCTTTTCCTATCAGATAGTCCTTGTTCATTCACACTGCTGGAACTAGGGAAATGATATGAATTTGACATACAAATTATGCATCAGTTTTTCAGAGGAAGCAGAAATCGTGTCGATAAAGGGAACTGCATATCAGTAACCAATAGGAAGTGAGGAAATACAGCCTGTAAGCTTGAGCCCCGAAGGAGGCTGATGGACAGAAGCATATGAGAAGCAGGAGAAGATTTTCATGTTATCAACTGTACCTAGAAGCACTGTTTTGTATCTAGCATAGTGGTGCCATGAGAGATGGCAGAGGAAAGGGAAGAATGGCCTTGGCGAGAGCTTGTTTGCAGTACCCCCTGTGCATGAACATCTAGAATCTTTGCCTATGTAGAAACAATAGCTGCCTGTGGTCACTTCTTTCCACACTTGAACGTGGAAGTGATTTCTTGTGCTGTTGTCGTTTTGTTCCTTATTCCAAAAAACCCAACTTCCTTTACTTTCTAACAACATCACAATGTTTGAGAGGAATGGTAGAATTTTTGGACAAAGATAATCACTTTTGTGTTTTTCCCACACTGTCTGCTGCACTGTAAAATGGTATAAACTACTTGCATTGTAACTTTCCTTGAATTCCCAGTGACTATGGAGTACCACAGTGACAAACAATAGTATCTGAGTTTGCAGCAGTAAATTGCAGATTGTAAGTGATGGCTCTGAACCTTCAGGAAGTGTAGCAGCATTCATTTATATGGGTCTTAGTAAATGTGACATAGGAGGACATAGTGGCACAACTATCACAGTGAAGCTGGTGAAAGCTCCATGATCTTGCTGTAAAAATATGATTATGTCTATGACTGCAAATGTAAAGTCATTGCTGCCCATTAATTATAAATTATAATGAAGATCACAGTTTGCAATTTTTGCAGAATGGAAACCTGAGCCAGCTCAGGTCATCATTAGATAGCATTTGACCAGGGAATTCATATGACATATGCCACAATGCCCTGCATATAATTTGAACTGATATGCTCTGGGGGTACAATTACTCTGTGATCCTGAAGTATATAACCTTGCACTGTAGAGAAGTGTTTCTCCAATGGAAATAAAGAGAAGAAATTCATCAGCAGTGACTTTGGAATGATGATTTGTATTTTAATGCACAACTCCCGCTGATAACTCTCATCAACACTGTTTGTCTCAGAAACATAAAAGGAAAAAAAATCACACTGATTTAAAAGTGATCATAGATCAGCAAAGAACATTATCTCTGAGAAAAGTTGCCAAATCAGAATCTATTCATACACCTGATTCTGAACAAGTTAAAGCTGAATAATTTCTCTAGCATCAGTCTCAATAACATATTCCATGCTGAGGAATTAGAAAAGACTTTTGCCAGAGCTACGAAGTCAAAGAGTTTGCTTTCAGCTAGACATGGGCCTTTAAAACATGCCTACAAACATTTTCAGCCAAGGCCTTCTGTTGGGGGGAAGACTCGTCATAAAGAGCTCTTGAGAGGCAATTACATTTGACACATGGTCATGACAGTCAGGCTTGGAACCATTTTAATCTGATTTCAGTTGAAAGTTTCTTCTTTCAGACCTGCCCTGAGCCACTGAGAAATGGGAACTAGAAATGGAAAGCTACGGATAAATAAATATTCCAATTTAGGTTGTCCAGCGGCATGACCGCCAAGACATTCCCTCAGTCTCTTAGCCCAGTTCTGTGAACTGCTGCACCAGTCGTCATGACTGCAGCACAGCTAATGTTGAGACAGCACAAGAGAGCAGCCCATTCTGCTGTGCCAATATTGTGAACCGAAATGGTTCAGCCAGAAAAATAGGTGTTACCGTGACAGCCATGGAAAAATACGCAGGGATGATACACAAAGCATGTCTGTTATTTTCAGATCAAATGCCTGTACATTCAACAAACCAAAGACTTACTGCGTACAAGAGCAGGTATCTTTCTTGCTCAGATGAGCGAGCAAGCCTTCTTTAGAATCTTTTGTGAGGGACCCACTGGGCTATTGGAAGAAAGGGCTATCCAGGCTGGTGTGGCTACTTGTGTGAACTTCTTATCTGACAAGCATGAAGACATGTGCCTCAAGTTCTACAGGTTCTGTAACACAGAAAAGGGGTTAGAATGACAGTCTAAGACAGCAAGCAGGTGGTTTATATAGAGTTTTAGCCACTGTCATTCAACTAGAGTGGGAATACTGATATTTACCAATTAAAAGGTTTGCTTCCAGTGTTCAAAACTGTTCACATATAGATCAACTCAGCAATTCTTACAACAGCAGTGGGAAGCAGACTAGAATTATGATCACCATGTTGCTGATTGTGGGAGGCTGATAGCAGATAATGGTTTGCTTAATACCGCATAGTAGTAGTGGGTTTGTGGCTGGTGTATGGTTTGAGACGTCATGGTTTCATATTATTTATTGAATTTATATACCACCCTGTACCCGCAGGTCTCAGGACGGTGCACAGGGTAAAACCAGAATATAAAGCCGCAAAGTACATAATCAAAATAAAAACAACAACCCAATGTCCCTCCAACACATTTTAAAATGGCATAGGATGTCAATCAAATCATCTCACTCACATATCTCACTCACTTACACAATATGCAAGCCCAACTCTTTGACCAAGAGCAAGGGTGGTACAGTGACAAGAGCCTAGCTCAGAGCGCAAGAAGAGGCTATAGTTACTTTAATTAGTGGCTACTTAAGCCATTCATGAGCCAACTATACTGGTGAACTTCTACTAATAGTTAGTAAGTCATTGGAGTATGAATGCTGCTGACACACAGCACAGAAGGGTGGATTTGTCATGTAAGACAGAGTGTAGCTGTAGCAACAACAGATAGCAACAACAAGTATGTTTCTAGGACTAGGATGCTGCTTGCTGTCCTCCTTATCCATGATTCTGTTCATTGGATTTATTCAGTGATATTCTTTGATGTTCTTTCTCAGCCACACAAAACCATTTTCTTTTCCACAACACCTGTGCAGTGTATTTATTGGAGGCATAGGTTCAGTTCATATGCTACTGCTACAGTACAGTAACTGCTAAAAAAGAAACAACAACCAACCAACCAACCAACCAACCAACCAAACACTTGCTTCCATGTGGGTTAATCTCACTTCACAGGAGTAATGTCTGAAGCACACACACACACACACACACACACACACCACACAAGAGGCAGTAGCCCCATTCCACTGTCCTGCTTCATTGCCAGTCTCCCTGGCCTCTAGGGCCAGAGAGGGACCAGTGGCAAAGCCCTGCAGAACATCCCCTCTCCTTCCAAGTCAGTAAGAAGGGAGGTGTTCCACCACCCAGTTTTGCTGCCAGATGAGAAGTAAGATTTCTCCTCCCGCCTGGTGGCATGGCAAGAATTGTAAGGTGGTTCACAACATGACTGAAAAAGTCAATCATAAAAATACATACTGTACGTGTAACACCCACAAAGCAGTAAGTATTTTTTGTAATCAACAAATTATGAACATGGAAGCCTGATGGATCTGTGAGGAGAGAGTATTCCACAAAATGGATGTCACCACTGAGAAAGCCCTTCTCCATATCGTCATGAGATGTATTTCTGTAAGAAATGGCATCCTGTGTGGTAAGGAGGGCATCCTGTGATGTTTGAAATGGTTGGGCTCATCAATATGGGGCATTCTCTCAGACAGCCTAGTCCTGAGCTGTTTAGCATTTTGTGAGCTTAAACTTGGCTCGATAGCAAATTGGCAGCCAGTACAATTCCTTCAGCACAGGAGTGCTTAGCAGCACATGACCTTTTAAAGTAGTGAATCATTTTAGTTTAGCAGTTAAATATACAGTAAGTGGGAGGCATGAATCTTAAGTGACAACTATTAGGTGAGTATGTTAGCATAGTTGGGGCCTTTTCAGTGGTAGCACCTCAGTTTTGCAATGCCCTGTGTCAGGGGTGAGGCTCTACGGTATTTTCAGGCTAAAGGCCACATTTTATCTTGGGCTGCCTTCTGCAAACTGAATGCTAGTGAATGGCAAGGCCAGCAGTAAAAAGTGGATAGAGTCACAGGTGAAAATGGATGGGGCAATATGTGTGAATCTTGCCTTTCTATATCCCTTCCACACACAAGTGAGAATTCTTTATACACACATGCACACACCTCCATCCAGTTAGATGAGATGTATTATCATAGTTCAATGATACATTCCATCCAGATAGAGGGACTCAAGGAGAACTTGGAACAGGCCAGGTAAGAGGTGTGGTCTGGAGAGAGTCCCAATGGCTGGATAGTGAAGGTTGCTTTCAGCACCTAATAGGGTCGCCATACGTTGGAAGCAGTGTCTGAGCGGAAATCAGCAAAATGTCTGGGGAAATCTGGTTGTATGGCAACCCATGTCGGCAACCCAGCTCACAACTTTGCCCAGAAAGCTCAACAACTTTTGTGTCCGGATTTTCAGTTCTTCTTCTTCTTCTTCTTCTTCTTCTTCTTCTTCTTCTTCTTCTTCTTCTTCTTCATTGT